GGTCACAGCAACCACTTACCGTTCATCATTCATCAGGTGGTCGTTTGTCACCCTATACTATAAAAAGAAATCATATAACCTGGCAAGCCGACTTCAATTCCTGCCGTTACCACTAACACTTTTAATAATAGTTTGAATATAAATTTACCACATGCTTGGAAGTAAAAGATAACATTACAAGGATACTTAAATGATCTCATCTGCGAGTTCGAATCTTACTTGTTGCAAATACTCTCTTAAGAAATCGTGCGTGTCAAGCACAATGTAGAGGTAGGGTTCCGTAGCTGCCCGACACATTATACGTGGGCTATCTTGACAATGAGCATGATAAGTGAGTTCGCGATTTGACCGCTATAACGACTGCAAATCGGCCCAAATAGAAAAATTGTAACTGAATGACTTATTTTCATATCAAACTTATATAGAGTGGTATTAAAAAAAGATTAAATCAACTTTTCGGTTTTGAAAATAATATAATTTAAGAACATCAAATCATTCACATGCTAAGATACAAAGATGATCATAGTTGACTAATTTGGACCGACTGCACGGAGTGTGCAAAATTTCATTGAAATCAGTTCAGTAGTTTAGAAGTTCATCGCGGACAAACAAGGTAAAACATAATTTTTATATGTATTTATATATATCTTATTATATTATATATGCGTGTATGCGTAGATATATGGATGTGAAAGAGGCGAGAGAGGTGTGTCAGGATCGCGCCAAATGGAAGTCCGTAGTCTCTGCCTACCCCTCTGGGTGACAGGCGTGAGTGTTTATGTTATGTTATGTTATTATATATTTATATATAGATAAATATATATAGGAGAAGTGTGGTGGTCTTGTTTTTCAAGAAAGGCGACAACGCTCTCTTGAAGAACTACAGACCGATTTCCCTTCTGAGCCGCGTCTACGTGCTGTTTTCGAGAGTGATTACGAATCGTCTCGCATGCAGACTTGACGACTTCCAGCCTCCCGAAAAAGCCGGTTTCCGAAAAGGCTTTAGTACCATGGACCACATACATACCCTGCGGCAGATTGTACAGAAGACAGAGGAGTATAATCTGCCACTTTGCCTTGCGTATGTGGACAATGAGAAAGCCTTTGATTCCGTCGAAATTTGGGCGGTGCTGCAGTCCCTTCAGCGGTGCCAAGTTCAGCGGTGTCAATAGTGTCTCCCAACGGATAGATCTTAAGATGAACATGGACACAACAAAAATCATGTTTAACGTCCATGTCACACCTATAGTAGTTGTTGGGAGCACTAAGCTCAAAGTTGTTGACGAGTATGTTTACCTGGGACAAATAGTCCGACTAGGTAAGTCCAACTTCGACCGAGAGGTCGATCGACGAATTCAACTCGGCTGGGCAGCGTTCGGGAAACTACAACACATCTTCTCGTTAGACATACCTCAAAACCTGAAAACGAAATTGTACAACCAGTGCGTGTTGACAGTGATGACTTACGGATCTTAGACGTGTCCGTCCTTCACTGCCGGCCGTGTGAGGAAGCTCAAGGTTGCTCAGCGAGCTATAAAGAGGGCTATGCTCGGGGTTTCTTTGCGTGATAAACTTAGGAATGAGGATATCCGCAGTAGAACCAGAGTAACCGACATAGCCCAACGGATTAGTAAGCTGAAGTGGCAGTGGGCCGGCCATATAGCTCGAAGAACCGACAACCGATGGGTAAGAAAGGTTCTCGAGTGGCAGCTTCGTACCGGTAGGTGAAGTGGTAGACCGGTAGGGTGACCCACCACTAAACGGAGTGACGACCTGGTAAGACATGCAGGAAGTCGATGGATGCAGGTGGCTCAGGACCGTGCTTTGTGGTATTCCTTGATGGAGGCCTATGTTCAGCAGTGGACTTATGAAAGGATGTAATGATGATGATGATGATATATATATATATGTAGACCGGTAGGGCGACCCATGATGATGATCATGGATATATCATCTATCTATTATATAAAAATTACGTGTCACGTTGTTTGTCCGCGATGAACCTAAACTACTTAACTGATTTCAATGAAGTTTTGCACACTCTGTGCAGTTTGGTCCAACTTGAGAGATAGAATAGTTTTTATTGTGATAAGTCACAATCAATATTTTTTTATTCCAAATTTAAGGATTTTTTATATGTAGGGTCGTCGAATAGGGCAGAACAACGTCTGCCTGGCCAACTAGTATATATATATATATATATATATATATATATATATATATATATATCTTAGAATTATATATATGACCTTAACGAACCTTCACGTAAACCACCACTGCTCTGAATTATCCTGAAGTCGCCCGCGTAAACCAAGAGTGTGACGAATGAAACTGTATGAGACTATATGATGATATGAATACTTTGAATGGGGCCTACAATAACTACCAACTAAAAAATAAGTGAAATTAGTAAGTAAGTAAGAAAGATCCTCACTGCCTATTCCACAAATGAAAAAGTGAAGCTATAATGCATATAAGTCGTTTTCTTAATAAAATCTTTATTTTTTCAGTTTGAAATAACATTACAAAGTTATAATGCAGCTAGGTTTTGGTCATTTTATATGGAGTTGTAACGAATTTTTTAGTAATCCAACTGCATTTTTTTATATAATTAATAGAATCAGGCGTTACTTTGCGGAAATCCATCATACAAAAGCTTTTAGAAAAATTTACTTCGCAAATATCCGCGTTATAAAATAAAATGATGTGTCTTACCTAGTATGAAGAGCACCTCCCGCCCTCTCTCAATTGCGTGCACTATCCCCGTCACCACTAATCCCAGCACCACTACTCCCAACACCACTACACTAGGCAAAACACACCACTGACGACAATACGACACGTGTTTCGCCTCTACACGAGGCATCCTCAGGTGATATAGACTCTACGGTGGCTAAGCGCTAAGTGAGCGGCGAGCCAAATCAACTGCCTTTTATACAGGTTGCGTCATCGGTACAGCTTAAACTGCTCCTTAGCGCAGTGGCTTAGCAATGAGTTTCAGTATTAAGGGCCGCGAGCTCGAATCCCACATGAAACAAGTATTTGTGTGGTCTACAAATAAATGTTCCGGTTCGAGATGTTTGCCCTTGTAAAATTTATGTATGTAAACTAGATTCAGGATACAGGAGAAAAGTCTAGTGTTTTCAAGGAAAAAAATTAAAATCCTATCAAATATTTAATCTGAACTTTATTATTCTAATAGTAGCTCAAAAACTATAATAGTAATTATAATAGCTTGAAAACTGAAGTTATCTAATCAATATTTTCTTATAGTGATTTTTGCAATGTTTACGGTGGAATTACCGCAATATTGAGGTGTATGTACGGAACGTTTCATCAGAATATCTTCTTTTTCCTTGTGCTATATATATTTTTTAAATATAATGATAAAAATATCGGAATAAGCCTCTAAAATAAACATCTCTCATAACAAACAGCAAATATTTTAGTTAACTGGAGATGTTTGTATTCGTTTAATGTATTGTATTATGAAATTCAAAAGTAAAATCGACATTTTTCTAATGCTTTGTTTATTACAGATTTTAGACGTATAAAATTAATATTTCATTGATCAATGTGTCAAACGTCTGAAGTCGTGGTTTACATTTGAATTCTAAATGAGGTTTCTCCGATAGAAAAAAGAAACTTTTGTAGAAAGTTATAGCTGATTTAGGGGTGAAATTAAAATTTCCATTACTATGAAATTAGTTCAGATGTGCCCTCAAAGTCAAAGACTGTAACAAGGTTCATTTAACAAAAGGCATCCCCTTTCTTTTAATCATGCAAATTACTTACTTTTGTGATAAAAGAAACACTTTTACTTTTTTACCCCAGTAATTAGAGAAAGTTGGAAAATATTTTCAGGCTTTGAAAAAACTACTTAATATTTTATAAATTTAATAAATATTAACTTTAGCACCATATAATGATTTCTTATATTTATGCGAACAGTACACATTGAATAAAGCTATGTTTACGGATTTTATATAAAAATAATATTATAATTTACTTATATTTATAATATAATAATTTACAAATACACGCAGGGTGGATGCCCCTATTACCAGCCACGCCCCTAATAACAGCCTTTTTGCCTTTTTGCTTGACAAATAAGGTTTCTGGTGATTTTATTTATCAATTGGTAACATTATAATGGACCTGTCAGCGTCAGTTGTAAATCAAAACACGATAGTAGCGGACATGGAAATACATGTACTTCGTACAAACTGGAACCCACACTCCCGAATGACATAAAAAATACAAGAAAATGACCTTGAAATTTTTCATTACCCCTCAGTCGCTTTCTAATTAGGGTGAACACAAAATACAAGAATTTGGGATATTATGAGGAAAACTCAGTTTATTTTTATTATATACATTTATAATATTTTAATTTAATTGAAAATAGTAGATGTACGATATTCTACTGGGTTTAGCGACTTACCGCTACAATCTCCCTGCAACCACGAATCCAGGGGCTGGCTCAAGGAGCTCGGGGCAGTCGATGCAATGATAGTAGTATCAAAGTTCAGCAGAGTGTATCGCACAAGAGTCCATAGGTTACAAGCACAACACTTCCAGGTGAAAGAGATCTTGAGAGATGAGTTTGAGTAACACGAAATTATTTGATGCGCGCGCGTCGGCGGTTTTGATTAGACTGTTCACAATTGCCGCCAATCGATGTGGCGCTTGTGTCGCACAGAGAACCATAACCCGCAAGATTATGGATGCATTCAGAATGAAAACAGTTGATCGCTAACCCAATGAATTTAATAGAAATATAGAAAAATAATATCTTCGAAATTGTGTTGCCTTGTACTTGTTATTATATACGAAAAAAAAAAGAAACCAAAAACATAATATATTAATAATCTGTTCCAGTACGGAACATGCCGCTCACCTTAAAAGAAGTAATTTCTTTTAAAAAATCGCTAACTTATAGTATAAATTGAAGACAAAAAAAACTTGAGGACTAGGATTAAGTTTGTAAATTTAACACATTACTCTAACGGAAGTGGGCAAATCTTTACTACAGGTCGTTTAAAAATAGTATTCCCAGCCTTTAAGGTCACTACACGAGTGACTTGATCGGAGCCAGGATGAACAGCATGCACACGCGCGAGCTTCCATTGTAATGGCGGAAGGTGCTCGTCGCATACCACAACAACAGTGCCTTCACGAATGGCGGAGCCGCGATCATGAAGCCACTTACTACTCTGTTGTAAGTGATGGAGATATTCTCTACTCCATCTTTTCCAAAAGTGCTGGACTGACTGTTGTATCCAGCGCCAACGTGTGAGACGGTTAGGGTTTTCGTCCAACAAGGATACATCAGGTAGAGCCGTTAAGGGTTCTCCTATTAAAAAATGAGACGGTGTTAAAGGGAGGGGATCGGTAGAGGCCGAACTCATGGCGCAAAGGGGACGTGAGTTTAACACGGCTTCGATTTGACAGAGAAGGGTATGCATCTCGTCGTAAGTCTGAGTACGAGTTCCAACCACACGATGTAGGTGGTGTTTGAAACTTTTAACACTAGCTTCGAAGAGACCTCCAAAATGGCTAGCATACGGAGGTTGAAAGTGCCACGTAAGTCCCTGTTGAAGGGTTTGTTGATTAATTGTACTTTGAACGACATGACTACGTAAAAACGCGTATAGGTCTTTAAGATAATTGTTACATCCGACAAAATTCTTTCCGCAGTCAGAATATATATCCGTACATAATCCTCGACGGGCCGTGAAGCGTCGCAGAGCTGCTAAAAATGCATCAGTGGATAGCTCCGAAACGAGTTCGAGATGTACGGCCTTTACGCTCATACATACGAATACCGAAACATAACACTTCACTATTTTCGCGTTACGTACTTTATTTGCACGAACAAAAAATGGACCGGCGTAATCTACGGCCGTTTTAAGGAAAGGACGCGCCGGTCGTATTCTCGAAGCTGGTAGTGGTCCCATTATCGGTTGATCACGTGTTGGACGAGCACGAAAGCAACGGACACAGCGATGTATGCGTTGACGCACGATGTCGCGGCAAGACAATATCCAATAGCGCTGCAACAGCAAGTATTGCACGGACTGAGGTCCTGCATGCAGATAGCTCATGTGAGCGTCGTCGATAATTAAATTCGTCAAAGCATGTTTTTTCGGTAAAATTATTTGATGTTTAGATTCAAATGGTAACAATGATTTATGAATTCGACCTCCTACACGTAAGAGTTTGTCACTATCCAAAAAGGGTGTAAGACGTCGCAATTGATTAGAAGGTAATCTTCCTTGAGATATCTTTAAAATATCGTCTTGAAAGACCGATTGTTGAGTAAGGTAAATTAGTCGATTTAATGAAAAATTATATTCAGGTACGGTAATGTAACCCGGGAACGAATTTTTAACCCTTTTGCATTTATTATAAAAACGAAATATTAGTGCGGTAATCCGAACGAGTTTGCCTAGCGACGAAAATCGCATTATAATTTCGGTATTTTGTACGGGCGGTGCCGTAGACATAGCAGAAGATAGCGTTAAGTTACGTTTTTCTTCACAGGTGCTCATAGTTTGAGTCTCAACCGGCCAGTTGTCAGCACTTCGTCGGAGCCATGCAGGACCATGGTACCACAAGTCGTGTTGTACCATCGCGGTAGGTAGCAAGCCACGTGATGCAGCGTCAGCAGGATTATCGGCTGACGGAACGTGGTGCCAGCAGCTGGCGGGAACGCGGGACAGAATATCGCTAGTGCGATTGGAAACAAACGTCTTCCATTCATGGGGCGATGAACGGAGCCAGGCCAGCACGATGGTGGCGTCGGACCATGCGTAAATCCGTTCAGGGCAGATGCGATCTCTGTATAAATTTGCTATCTTATCTAATAGCTTTGAAAGCAATAGAGCTGCCATCAGCTCGAGACGTGGGATGGTAAGGGGTGTGCGGAGCGGAGCTACCCTAGTTTTCGCCATAATCAGGTATGTATAAATATTGCCGTCCTTGCTTGTAAGTCGAATATAGACACAGCCGGCATATGCGATCTGGGACGCGTCAGCAAATCCATGAATTTCTATCGAATCAATATTATTACTGAAAATGTATCGCGGAAACGATACCTGTGATAGCAGCGGTAGCTCGTTTATGAAACGTGTCCACGAATTAATGATATCGATGGGCGGATTATCGTCCCAATCTACATTTGCCATCCACAATAACTGAATCAAATGTTTGGCATACAAGGTTACCGGAGATAGCAACCCGAGAGGGTCATATATTTTTGCGATCTCAGAAAGAATAGATCTCTTGGTGCATTTATGAGTGGTAACTTGAACTTTAAAATTAAATGTATCAGATCCTGGATTCCATTGTAGTCCGAGGACCTTAACTCTTTTGTCGTTCTCCATTTCAGAAAATGGAACGTTTTCGGGCCGCTCACCATGACAAGCTGGTGGCTGTAGTGTAGCGAGTATCGCTGATGAGTTGCTGTGCCACTTACGTAGTTCGAATCCAGCCGTCTTACAAATGTCGATAAGCTCTTGCTGCAGAGCGAGAGTTTTGGACTCCGTATCCTCACCAGAAACAACATCATCGACAAATACGTCACTCAATAATACGGGAGATGCGAGCCTAAAATACTCGGCCTCATCGTGAGCAAGCTGCTGAATTGTACGCAAAGCGAGATATGGTGAGGAATTTACACCGAATGTGACCGTGCGGAGACGGTAGTCCCTTATAGGTTCTTCTGGCGATTTACGCCATAAAATGCGCTGGAAGTCCCTATCAGTTTCACGAATCAGTATATTTCGATACATTTGTTTAATATCCGCAGTGAACGCTACGGCATGAACACGAAACTTTAAAAGTACGTCTACTATATCAAGGTGAAGCTTGGGACCCGTTAGGAGAACGTCATTAAGCGACAAACCACTCGTCGTTCTACAACCCGCATCGAACACTACGCGTGTACGAGTTGTTTTGCTCGATTCTTTAACTACACAGATAGCTGGCACCTTGCAAAGGCTCACTATCAACGAGCTCCATGTGATTCAGGTCCTCATACTCCTGGAGGCACGTGTGATAATCAGTTTTCAGCTGCACGTTGCGTTCCAATCTATACTCTAATTTTCTAAAGCGAGCCAATGCAATTTGCCGTGACTCGCCGAGGCGCGGTGCGTTGGGTTTGAACGGCAGGGCGACGACGTACCGTCCTGTCTCGTCCCGTGTATGCGTATTTTGGAAAAAGGATTCGCATAGCTCCTCGTCTGGAGTGTAAGTACGTTTCTCGGAAAAAGATTCCAGCTCCCAAAACCTTTGAAGATTGTCGTTGTCAAACGAGCTAAAACATACCTGGAGTGGAGTCGAAACGATTGTATCGAACGTTATTTTACCTAATAATAAATAACCTAACACGCTATTCATCGCAATCGGTGACCCCGGAGGTCCAGTAATCATGTTGCCTAATAAAATGTGGGATAGTATATCCGCTCCTAGTAACATTTCTACCGGTTGGGGTGTATGAAAGTCAGGGTCAGCTAAGTTTAAATTTTTTAAATGTGACCAACCTGTAAAGGGCAGAGGTACACTGGGCATTTTCGTAACTAATTTTGGCAAAATTAACGCATCCACGGGTACAATGGGCTGCTGTTTACCTTTTGGAACAATTAAACATGAAACTATACCTTTAGGTTGCACAGGATCGGTATCGCCTATACCAAAAACCGGAATATTTATATGTTTACGCGCTAAACCTAAACGTTGTACGCAAGCCTCTGTGATAAAGGACGCCTGGCTTCCCGTGTCTACAATACATCGAACGGTTGATACCTTTGATTCACCTACGCAAATATCAATGAGCGCTGTGGATAATAGGACTGTATGAGTACGAACTAAAGACGCATTGGACGCGCAATTATTATGTACCGCGCTGCTGTTGGCAGGTAAGGTAAGAGGTGACTCAGCCGTGAGAACACTCATTCGCTCTTTCGTAGGCGGGATCTGTATAGCACTATCAGCCACCGTCGTTTCGCTAATGACCGATAACGATTGCGTTGAAAGATGAATTAATGTATGATGTCGTTTATAACACGAACGGCAAACGAAATTTGATTTACAATTCTGAACGTCGTGTCCAACGTGTAAACAATTAAAACAGATGTTTTTATTTTGCACGAATGAATACCTATCTTGTGGAGAAAGATTTAGAAACTGTGAACATTTAGTTAATATATGTTGACCGTTGCAATGTAAACAAGTTTTAACCTTATTACCATTACTTTTAGATCGAGACTGCTCTATGGGTACATTAAGGTTAGTAATCAAAGAGCGTCGCGCCGTAGGCACAGTACCGCCGCTTGCGTTGTTGCTCCGGCCCGAGAATTTTACTGAATTACCCACATTCGCCGATGGCTTCTTAGCAGAATGTACGTTTGAAACAGTAGAAATAGTTATTTCGTCAGCGGAAATTTCCCGTTCGAGGAAAGAAATTAACGCGCATACATCTGGAATTTCGGATGGCTTACTCAATGAACGTTCGAATGTTCTTCTAATAGTGAGCGGAATTTTACGCAACAAAATATTTAATAGTATAAAACTCCATTGAGTTATTGGAAAATTCATAACTTCAAGCGCCTTTATATTCTCTTGATATATATTTAGTAAATTTCGTACACTATGACTCAACCTATCGGAACATGGTTCAATATCCAGAATTTTGTCAAGGTGTTTTGATGCAATAATTCTTTTATTATCATAACGCGACACTAAAATATCTAAGGCTACAAGGTAATTTTCGTCGGTGATAGGAATAGATTTAATAAGATTATGTGGCTCGTTTTTAACTGCAAGTAGTAAATATCTAAACTTTTCCGCATTACAGTAAGCGCTGTTGTTATGTACTAACGAACGAAATAAGTCATAAAACGACGGCCAATCGGTTGGATCGCCGTTAAATTCTGGCAATGGCAATATAGGTAGGTTTTTTCTGTTTGCTTGCACTATGACCTCGGATGCTTGAAATGTTCGACTCGTGCGGCGCTGTTGCTCATCCTCCTTTTTTAAATTATTTAAATAAGTAACAATGGTATAATATAAATCGTTAAAATCATTGCGAACTTTAATCTGCTCCTCTTTATTAAATGATTTTATTTTAATGAGCGTTTTCTCAATCTTTGTTTGAACTTTATTGAATTTTCTTTGGTGAACAGCTAAATCAATAGTTCGCGAACGAAAATGTTGTTCATTTGTTGTTGCGAGCTGAATAATACGATTAAGCTCATCAAGAATTAAATCTCTTTCGAAAATATCTTGTTCACACGGTAATTCGTCGTCCGACATTTTGCGTTACAAAATGGCGGATTATAATTTTACCACATAAAAGAATTGAGTACGTAATACTGCAATACTTTGCTTTGCAAGACAACACAAACTGGAAGATATTAATTCGGATTGAATGATCAAAATGTTTAATCCGGATCGAATGACCAAAATAATTATGTACGATATTCTACTGGGTTTAGCGACTTACCGCTACAATCTCCCTGCAACCACGAATCCAGGGGCTGGCTCAAGGAGCTCGGGGCAGTCGATGCAATGATAGTAGTATCAAAGTTCAGCAGAGTGTATCGCACAAGAGTCCATAGGTTACAAGCACAACACTTCCAGGTGAAAGAGATCTTGAGAGATGAGTTTGAGTAACACGAAATTATTTGATGCGCGCGCGTCGGCGGTTTTGATTAGACTGTTCACAATTGCCGCCAATCGATGTGGCGCTTGTGTCGCACAGAGAACCATAACCCGCAAGATTCATTCATTCATTTCGATGGATGCATTCAGAATGAAAACAGTTGATCGCTAACCCAATGAATTTAATAGAAATATAGAAAAATAATATCTTCGAAATTGTGTTGCCTTGTACTTGTTATTATATACGAAAAAAAAAAGAAACCAAAAACATAATATATTAATAATCTGTTCCAGTACGGAACAGTAGAGTTCCATTGAAACGCATGATGTTAGAAAAATTCATAAAGACGAAGCTGCGTGAGAAAGTTTATTAATTAATATTATTTATTCGTGTATTTTTTGTCACTAAACGAATAAATGAGTGAACGGGCTCAATATACAAAACTTTAACCATGAACTCAAAGCATCTTGTTCTTCCAGCTCTAGGATCTTCTCGTCAGTCCTCAGGGTGCGTGCGTCGAATCGACGTAGGTGACAACCGAACCTCCACCGGATGTTCTTAGCAACCCCTGCCCCGCCGTTATCTTGGCGCTATCGTAGCCAGAAATAGCGGGGCCGCCGGGGACTGGGGGCCGTTTTTTATTGTCATGAGCAATGACAATAATAAACGGCCCCCAGGTACTCCGTTTATTATTGTCATTGCTCATGTCAGGCCATCATCCTGAGCAAAATCTAAAATAGTTTTTGTCCGATAATGAAAGAAAATAATCGATTTCCCATACAAAATGTATCGGTCACGTGACCAATTTTGTATGGGTAGTCAATTTTTTTTTAAATTTTCATAAAGAAATTCCTTCAGTACCTGACTCACAATGATGGTCATGATGAGTTCATGGTTAAAGTTTTCGTGTGGCTGTCCTTACATCCCTTATAATGTAACATTAGGAAATAATAAAACTAAAATAATGATAGTTTTTATTTACATTTATTATTACAATAGCAATAGTGTCTATAAATTTAAAATTTTTATACATGGTTGAATAGGTTTGTGAAGTTTTTGTCGCTTGGTAGAAACAGCACTCAACTTTTGGTCCATATTTTTTTTAGATGCGTTCTGAAACGCATGGTCAAAAAAGAGTTTGAAAATCACAGCAACCACTTACCATCAGGTGGACTGTGTGCTCGTTTGTCACCCTATCCTATAAAAAATAATTAATTTTAAAATTCGGGATTAATGAAATTCAGAGCAATTAATACTGTCATCCATAGGCTGATTCTTTTAATAGAAGGATGACAAACGACCACACAGTCCACCTGATGGTATGTGGTTACTGCAGCCCATAGACATCTATATCTATCCTCTATTACAACTCAAAATGCAGATGCGTTATCACCCGTGAGGACTAAGAAACAACAGCGTTAAGCTGCTATTTTACGCTGGTATTCTGTGAGAGCGTGGTCCTTCCCCGGTCGAGCCGACCCATTCTGCAGCACGAATACATATATAGCTGCAGCATGGCTCTACCACGTATAGAATACACTATAGAATAAATTCATATTTTCTTTTTCCGTTTCCAAAATGTTTCGAATGAAAGACAGTGTTTTTTTTTACAAACAGAAACATTTACATTTACTTTTGTAGCATCACGCAGCAGCCAAAATTCCTGAAAAGACACGAAAATCTGATTTTCCAACACTGAATAACAATATAATTATTACACTACCTTAATTGCAATTTAATAATAATAATTTATTTCAAACAATATTTACATAATGTTAATAAATGTAAACAGAAGCTCATGGATAAATACCTTATTACTTGAAATAACATACATATTTATTACTATAATTTAAAAACATGTTAATAGCTAATTGTGTAAATTAAAAGAGCTCTTACATGATTGCAAGATGGCACATCTAACATAGTTTCCCAGGATCGTTTACACGTAGAAGCTGCACTAGTTGCATATTCGTCATTTGACTGCAAATATAATTAAGTATTAAATTAAACCTGTGACAGTGTTTTCCCATCGTCATTTTAAAATATACATACTTTTATTAATACTCTTCATCATCCTAAACCGTATCAGGTAAATCTGATGGTGGATTTTCTTTGTTTAGATGTGTCTGA